TCCTCTTTCTTACATCTATCTTTGTTCTATGATCTGAATTCTAGGTTCCAAGTTTTAACACCATTTTCCACCTCCGATCCTTTAAAGCACACAAAACCTTACCAAAACCTTGTTTGATGCTAAGCAAAGTTTGGGTTAGTTTTAGACAGCAAAGCGAAGGACTTTGCTTCATGTTCTAGACTTGGGTTCTTGTTCCTTGCACGTTACACCATGTGACTGAGTCAATCAAAAGCTCTTTCGTTTCGTAGGAATTCAGGCACTTGAAATCAAACATTGGGAGAGACGTAGGAACAGGCAACAGCAAGGAGAGAGATCTTGGTCATATTTACGCAACCATGAAATTTGATATATTATTAAATAAATAAATAAAGCACATGTTCAGGCACATGCAGTGAAGATGGGGAAGTGGGGATTCTGCACCTTCCCAGCAAGTCATGGTGGTCGCTTGTATGCTCTTCAATGAGGTCTTTGGGCTCTTGGGGCTATTTAAATTTATTGATTCTAATGGCATGATAGAGAAAAATATTAAAAACGAAAATAATTTTTAATTTAGGGTAATTAATCTGTGAAAAGAATCATCATGGAATATTTACGGATTCATATCTTAATAATTTGGTTTCATGATTATTTTTATGAATATTTTAATATTATAAAATTACCTTAAATTTATGATACGAAATACATAAAAATAAAAAAAATTCTTAATATGTGTTAAAAATCAAAAAGAAAAAGATTTTGGGATAGAGCGTGAATTTGTTAATGACATACTACACCTTGATTTGTCGAATTTATACTCAATGTAGTAAATATCTAAGAGTAATTTGACTTAAATAGGATCCCCTGATTTAGTAAAAAAAAAACCCCATTATTTTCTCTTAATTTTAGATTTTCGGATTAATTTTACTTCAATTTTGACCAATTATTTTTAATTAAAATATAGATGTTTTGTCTTATGAAGATTGAATTATGATAGAGTCTAAGAACTACTTAATGCTGAATTATATGATCCTTCCAACTATATAACACAGGAGAAGCCTTTTGCAGTCCAATTATTAAATTTCTTGGTGGGATATGTTTGTAATTCACTAAAAAAAAAAAACCCTTTTTTCCCTCTTTTTATTTTATCAAATTTTAGGGGATCCAATATCTGATTTCATATCACTTTCTTTGTGGAAAGCAATGGAATCAACTTGGTTACTTAAACATCAAGGTGACCACTGCCAATTTGGGGCATATTCTTCAAGAATAATTTCATTTATCAAACCCTTTTTTTTTTAATTTTGTAAAGCCTAAATCCAATTTCCATATCATGGGCCTAAGGTCCCTGTTCTCCTATACGACACCGTATTACGGGCTTGATTTGAAAGCCCATTCTCTCTCTTCGAGATCTGTTAGATGCTAGATTAGATAATCGAGAACGATCTTTTTCTATCTCAATATTCGAATTTGAGATTTTTTAAAAAAATTAACTTTTAATATTAATATTATTAATGCATTTATCGTTTTTAGATTATTTAACGAAATGTATGCACTTGATGCACGTCAATTATAATAATTTACGTATCAATATTTACTTGTGATGTGAGTATTAAAGAGATTGGATTCCTTTGCTTTTTTTGAATAGTTAAGCAATTTAGACCGTTTCAAAAATCATGATATTTAGTTGATAAGTCCATCAGTGATTAAACTCAACAAAAAAAAAAGGAAAAAAAAAATCAAAATCTAACCCAAGATGGATAGATCATTAAGGGTTGTGGGCCCATGTTTGTGTGATTTCAGTCCACACACATGGTTGGAAAACTTGGACAGAGCAATCCAAATTCTGATCCTCCTTGACTAATGCCTTTGGGCCCATGATCTTGTCTTGTCAATTTGTTTTGTTTTTTCATTACATTATGACAAAAATCATTGAATCAAAACCTAAGAGACTACTTTTACCTTTGGCTTGATTCTTCCTAGAAGTTACAGTCAGCCCCTTTTTTTTTTACTGTGGGCATAGATAATTTGGTGGAATTATAGTAAAAAAAAAACCAATAGAATAGTTTTCACAAAATTCCTTACTTTCTACCTCAATAAATAAATAAATAAAAATTCTTTACTTTAATTATATCAAAATAGTGAAATCAGTAAGTGTCGGTTCCAAAAACCTAAAAAAAAAAAAAAGACACTTTAGGCTTAGCAAGTATCTTTATCACTGATAATTTGACAACACAATGACCTTATCTTTTGCTTTGATGTGGATGGGAAGGGAAGGGAAATTTTTTTTTTTTTATCAATTAATTACAATAAATTAGTTCTTTATTCTCATGTATTACAAAAAGGACTAATCATTTCATTTCGACAAGTCTTTGCCCTAGTTAAAAATGGGTTTTAATACTCTGATTAGGTGTGAAAGGGCATCTGATTAAATCTTATTTTATTTAACAAAGTCTTAAACTTGTATTAGGTTCGTTAAAGAGAATAAGGCATGGTTTACATAATTTCGAATTGAGTTCGAGAGCACAATTATTTACGGAGAACGATTAACATCTCCGTAACGTTCATTAAAAAAACACTATTTAATTATTTATTATCTAACTTTAATCTTAATTCTCAATTTCAATCATATTTTTCTTTAAAAAAAATATTGGGTTTTGACTCCCTCTAAGCTAAGCATCTCTCCATTTCTTTCTAATGATAGGACCCCACCCGGTAAAAATTCTTTCCATTTAGGTGTAACACCCATCATGAATTTAGAAAAAGTAATTAATGTAAGAATTTAAGTCAGTGAGTTTAATTAAGGAAAAGATTTTTAATTTGTATTAGTGCTAGATGATAAGGATGGCAAGAGGGAAAAGGGGTCAAAACATCACATGCATTATTAATCTATAATATATTATTAATTCCTAATTAATTCTAAGTGGATAATCTTTGTGGCATGATAGAGGCTTCCACTTTTTTATATATACAAATCTTGTTAACTATTGTGTTCAAATATATTATAGTTCTATTTATTGAGAATATTATTATTATTAAAACCTCCTAATTTATATGACTAAACATATACTTAGAGATTGATATCTACACATTAAATAATTAAAAATATAAAAATATAAAAATAAAAATAAAGGTAAAATATACTAATTTACTCAATTTTTAATTATAATTACACTGATCTATCAGTTTTCAAAATGACATTCCGTTCTAAATGTGTAAACGATTTTAATGATTAAATGTGAAATGTCTGAATTTTTTTTTTCTTTTTTGCACTCTTTTCTTTTTTCTCAAACGAATTGATAATGCTCCCTTATATTGGTTGGTCACTTTGAGATCTGATCATGGAATATCAGATTCGGTTGGATCTCCTTGGGCTTCCTTAGGGAGAATCGTTGACTAGAATGGCTGGATGAAATTTTTTTTAAAAAAAATTTAAAATAAAATTATAATTTATATAATGATAATTTTTAAAATTAATAAAAAATAAAATATCTTAAAAATATTATCACATCATTAAATTTATAAAAATATTGACAGTTGACTAATTGTAAAACTTATGTATCTAACCAAAATAAATCTTTAAGAACAAATTATTTATTTTAAAAATTAATAGATCCGTATTTAATTATAATCAAAAGTCAAAGAGATTAATGTAATTTATCCTAAACAATATTATGTAAATAATATAATTTTCAAAAATAAAATCAAAACTAGATATTGGAATCAATACCGAGATACATTAAATAGTTCAAATTCGAAAATATAGAGATAAAAAATAAAAATAGACATATATTTAATTTTTTTAAAATCTTTCTCTTAATTTATTTGGGATCAACCTTAAAGCATTAATCATGTCAGATAAAGAGACAACATGAATAACACAAAGACCTTAGTAGGGATGGCGTGCCTCATGGTCTATGGTCATCATTTGTTTATTCCTACACAATAAATTTCACTATATTTTGCTTCCTTACCCTTCCCCTTTTCACATTATAAAAACAATTCTTTTGATGAGAAAATTTTAATTATAATTATTCAAACAAAATAATATATGTATATATATATAATTATTTCCTGTCTATTTTAAAAACCCATTTTAGTATATTTATGAAAGACCAAAAATTCAAATTTGTTGAAGTGATTTAGGGAAAAATTTGTAAGCAAAGATTCTTATTACTTAATTCTAATAATGGTTAAAAACAACATCAAATCATTTTTAGATATGTCTAAATTGATCTTAATATAAATCTTTCAAAACTTGTCATGATTTCATGGGATAATTACTTTTTTTTAAAAAAAATAAATTAAAAAATCATGCAGCATACATGCTTATAAACATCTAAAGGTCTTTTAATCCGTTTAATATGAGATTGAAACACTTCATACGTGACACTATAACAAATGTAATTAATAACCTTATTTAATTAGAAAAAAAATCATGAACAAAGTTGTCCTTTAATCCAACAATTGCAAGTTCATATTAGCAAAGAGCCAGCAATGATTCCATAAAAGAAGAAACCACTCTCATGAAAGGTGATGGACTTTCTTGATGTAGCTTAGCTATGATTAGCACTTTGAAATAACTATCATCAATCATTCACCCCCACACTACTTTTAACCAACAAAAATTGAAGCAAATATTTTTAAATAATATTCCATTAATGCGGAATTATCATGATTTTTTTAATTAAAAAATTGACAATATTTAAAAATAATTAAAAAGATAGATCATTCGGTATTAATCATTGAACCGGGGTTAATACGTTTGTTACGTGTTCATCTAATTAAATCAGATAATTAGGGCTTGAATATATTATATGGAAGTAGTAATTTTTGAGAAATAATTGTGGAAATAAAATAGAGAAAAATGATAATCACATGAAAAAATAATTTAAGAAAACATAAAAAACAAAAGCAACATTAAAGATCATTAAAGAAAACAAACGGTCAGTGTCAAAGCCATGACATGAATGGATGGCTAGGATTTAACCAATCACCCGCCACCTTAAATCCCCATGGAGGAACAATCATCATCGTCATCCTATTTAACACATCAATTCTTTTGTTCCCAACCATAAGGTTACTTTCTCTCTTTAACTCCAAAAAGTTAAGCGTTGTTCGGCCTTTCTTCTCTCTCTCTCTGTGAAACTTTCACTGAGGTACTTTACTTCTCTTCATCTTTTCTCTGCTCTTTTTACAGTTAGTTTAGCAGTAGCTTGATGGGTTTTTAAGGTTGTCCTTTTAAACCTTAAAGAATCTCTTGTTTGTTCCTTGTTTGATTCTTATATTGTTCTGACAAGGATCATTTCTATCTGGGGTTTTATATATACATATATATATATATTCATTTCCTTTATTCATTTTCTGAGTACATGTTTGTTTTTATGTTTTATACTGTCCCAAAAGATGATTTATATATATATATATATATATGTTATGTACTGTCCAAAGATCTTATCTTTATGTCGTATAGAGGTCAAAGATGCTATTTTTTGTTATTATGATGTCCGAAGATTTCATTTTTATTTTGGATCCAGATTTCTATATGTTTGATGCTATACTATTTTGACGTTTTTAGGGAATTTTGAGAATGAAGAAACATAATAGTTTGTAGTTGTAAAGCTGTTGTTTTGTGGACAAGTTGCAAGATAAGAAGAGGGGAGGAGTTGGCTTTGAGGTTGGACTTTCTGAGTTTTCTTTGTGGTTGTTTAATGTTGCACTTGAAAGTGAAGAACTTTGGTAGTTCAGAATTTTGGATTTGGGTATCGGTGTTGGTTTCTACTGTGATATTCCTTTATAAAATATATTGTCATGGATCGGTCGTTGAAGGAACTTTACAGTTCTGTTGATAGATTCAGAGTGAACGATGATACTGTGTTGGCCTTATCTGGTAGGAATTTTGATGACAAGTTTCAGAAAGAAACTTATGTTGATATTCCTCCTTTGCAACCTGCTCCAATGCTGAGAAATTTAGCTCCTTCCTCGAGCGTGAATGAGGAGGGAGATTCACATGAGGATTATGATTTCAGTGATGTGGTTCTTAAGTACATTAATCAGATGCTTATGGAAGAAGATATGGAAGATAAGACCTGCATGTTTAAAGAGTCCTCAGCAGCACTTCAAGCTGCAGAGAAATCATTTTATGAGGTTCTTGGACAAAGGTATCCCCCTTCTCCCAAATATGAATTGAAACCTTTTACTGATCAAAACCAAGAAAGCTTTGATGACAGTCGTGATCAAAGTTGTTGGAGATGTAGTAGTGCAAGCATTAGTAGTAGTAGCAGTAACTTAGTCGATCTTGGGTGCAACCATGATTTGGGTGAGCAGAGGTCTTCATCCTTTGCTTCTCAGGCCAATTCTCAGTCATCCCATAGCTCAGGGAACAGTACTGGTAGTGGCCTAGATGGCTTTGTGGATTCTCCAGTGAGTACTCTTAGGCTTCCTGAAATATTTAGTGATAGTGAGTCTGCCATGCAATTTAGAAAAGGGTTTGAAGAAGCAAGTAGGTTCCTTCCAAATGGCCGGAGCCTGTTTGTTGATGTGGAGAGTGATGGATTGTTTCTCAAGGAGGTAAAGGAAGAGGCTAAAGGTGTGGTTGATAAGGCAGAGAAGAATGAGTTCTCACAGAATGGATCAAGGGGAAAGAAGAACCCTTATCCTGAGGATGTGAATTTAGAGAGTGGGAGGAGTAACAAGCAGTCGGCAGTTTATACTGAATCCACTGTAAGCTCGGAAATGTTTGATAAGGTACTATTAAATTGTCAAAGTGTAACTGACCTTCGCAAAGCTTTGCAAGATGAAACAAGCAAGAATGTGCAGCATAATGGACAACTGAAAGGGACTACTGGTGGAAAGGCACGTGGGAAGAAACAGGCAAGTAAAAGGAATGTGGTGGATTTGAGAACTCTCCTGACCCTTTCTGCACAAGCTGTTGCAACTGATGATCGGAGGAGTGCAAATGAGCTGCTGAAGCAAATCAGGCAGCATTCTTCACCTATGGGTGATGGAATGCAGAGGATGGCCCACTATTTTGCTGATGGCCTAGAGGCACGCTTAGCTGGCTCTGGGACCCAGATTTACACTGCTCTTATCACAAAGCCAACATCAGCTGCCGATGTTTTGAAAGCTTACCATCTGTTTCTTGCTGCATGTCCTTTTAGGAAGCTCTCAAATTTCTTCTCAAATAAGACAATAATGAATCTAGCAGAAAATGCACCTAGGCTTCACATTATTGATTTTGGTATTCTATATGGCTTCCAATGGCCTTGCCTCATACGGCGTCTCTCATCTAGACCTGGGGGACCGCCTAAGCTAAGGATTACAGGGATTGATCTTCCACAACCAGGTTTCCGCCCAGCAGAAAGGGTTGAGGAGACAGGGCTCCGTCTTGCAAACTATGCAGAGACTTTCAAAGTCCCATTTGAGTTCCATGCAATTGCACAGAAGTGGGATACCATTCAAATTGAGGACCTCAGGATTGACAGTGATGAGGTGCTTGTTGTAAACTGCATGTACAGGCTTAGAAACCTACTTGATGAGACTGTGGTCGTGGAGAGTCCAAGGAATAAAGTTCTGAACTTGGTCAGGAAGATGAATCCTGACGTTTTCATACTGGGAATTGTGAATGGTGCCTGTAATGCTCCATTCTTCATTACAAGATTCAGGGAGGCTCTCTTCCACTATTCCACTTTATTTGATATGCTTGAGACTAATGTGCCCCGTGAAATTCCAGAGCGGATGCTGATTGAGAGGGAGATATTTGGGTGGGAGGCAATGAATGTCATCGCATGTGAGGGTGCTGAAAGAATTGAGAGGCTTGAGACATACAAGCAGTGGCAGGTCCGGATTTCAAGGGCTAGGCTTAGGCAGTTGCCATTGAACGAGGAAATCATGAAGACAGCAAAGGAGAGGGTGGATACATGCTACCACAAAGACTTTGTAATTGATGAGGATAACCGGTGGTTGCTTCAGGGGTGGAAGGGACGAATTGTTTATGCACTCTCTTCTTGGGTGTCTGCCTCTTAAGTGCATATTTGTTACTACTCATAGAAGGCAAGGTCTTGTAAAATGCTTTGTGGTTGGATTGCAGCCTTTGGTGCCTATGATTTCATGATGGATTTCACATATACGAAGATGAGGTGCTGACTTCCTATATCATTGTAGATAAAATCTCTCCCTCTTCTGTCTCTTACAGTCTTACTTGCACACTCACTTACATGCACGCATTTAGATATAAAGACACAAATGCAGAAAAATATGCATACTGATCTTGCCATTTTTGTTGCATACAATGGATAAAAAAAACTTTATATTGACAATTATTTACTGTATTTTCTGAACAGGCTATGTAAGTAAGATCTTGCTAGGGCTTTTTCTCATGCTGTTGAAGACTTCAATCGGAGGTGGCTTCCTGTTATTATTTAGCAAAGCATGAATGCATCATTTACTAATTACTATATTGCTTTGGCAGTTACGTTATGGTCTGAGTTAATTACATGTATGTTCATATTACATAAGAAGTACTAGGGAATAACAGCAATGGTAATGGCTTTTACACCCACATTACCTTAACGAAACAGCGATGAAGTTAGGTCAAAGCTAGCAATTTAGGGGAATGTAAATGCTATTTAGAATCTCTTCGACATAAAGTAGTTGCTTGTTGTCAATTTTGAAGAGGTTATGGAACTCTCTTTGTTTTACATTGGGTCTCACATTTCCTTTAAGCAATCAACATCCTCTCTGGGGATTCAAGTTATATCTGCTAATATTGTTTTCAACGTGGGGGAGAAGGGTGTTTAGCTGCTTCACGGTTGTATATGATATTGGCTATAGAATTCCAATGAGTAGCATTAACATACAACACTGTTTAGACTTTCCTGCCATTTTCTTAATGGAAAAAAACAAACAACTTCGATGTACCAAATCCATTAACAATATCTGATGGAATAGTTAGTGAAATGGGCCCCATCAACATATCAATCCTGAGATCTTTCTTTCTACAATATGAAATAATGACAATTTGTTGTGAGGAGTCAACCTCTAATTAAAAAGTTGCTGCTCATGCTTCGCTCTTTTATTTAATAGTTTTTATCCTGTAGCTAGTGGCATTGGTGCATGCATCTTACTCGGCATTATCTCCATCACTGTCATGTTCAACTGCATCAAAGATTAATCCCTGCTTTTATATTAGATTATATATGTTTTAGACTTGATATTGTGGAGTGTTGTTATCTGTGAGTGGTAGTAAGACTTTATTGATTACCCTTTATTTAATGTATAAGTATGCCTAGGATTGGATGAACAATCCCAAGGTCTTCAATAATTACCCACTCATAGTTGCTGCTTACCAGGACCAATAATTTAAGGAGGAGGGCGGTTGAAGAATTCCTTTTGTTATTAACCAATGGACAGCAAGAAAGAGTCATATGCACTTAAATTTATTAGATGGTCAATGCTTACCAGGGAACTGCTGGTGAAAATTTTTCAGTCAAAATAGTTTTAAAATTTATACGCAAACAATGCATCATGTTGTTACAAGTAAGGTTGTAATCAGATTTACGCCAAGATTAGGCAGTCGTAGTACATAAATTCCGTGTTTTAGAAGTCAAATGATGTGGTTTATGGTCATATAATCAAATTCTTCCTTGTTAATTAACCTATATAGTACTAACCAATCTGTTGTTAGGGAGAGAATTGTTTTTATGCTGTAAATGCCATCGTTTGATCATTTGATGTCATGCATTATGTACAAGGAAAGACTAAAAATGCCATGTCTAACATTTTCCATGGGGGAGTTTACCAAATCCTCATACTGAAGAATACTGTACATGCCATTGGTACTATACCTCAAAACCAGTAAACATTCTCCTCATACTTAGGGTTCGGCTCTCTTCCGGTACTTTTCATTTTTTGGTATAAAAGTTTTCGATATATGATTAGATTTTATACACGCGTAAGTAGTTTGCGTAAAAAGAAAAAAAGACGATGTATCGAAAAATAATAATTAAAAGAAAACACTGTTATTATCCAAGTGAGGTGGTGATTTGAGAGGGTAACAAGAATAGCATAAAAGCCAGTACCTCAACAATTAGAAGCAATCAACAAACATCAGTCATCAGTCATGGTCATGGGAATTTGATTTCGTTTTCCTTTCTCCCTTTGTTAAGGAATCATTTGGTGGACATGCCTAACTGCCATATACATGCGAACCAGGATGAACAATGTGGGATTTGATGTTTAACCTTTAGCACAGCTTTTAATAGGCTTTATTGTTGATCAAAATTTGATTGATTAAGATGGATTTAACAATTGATTTAGCTTCTTCAAATTAAAAAAAAAAAGATTTATATAATTAAAAAATTAGTAAATAATTAAAGCTATTAAGCATTCATATATTACTATATCTCAATATACATGTATATATGGATTTTAATTTTTTAACAAAATAAAATGATAAATAATAAAAATATCAATCCAACAGAGTTTAAATAAATGGAAATGCTGAACCGGGTCGAGAGGAGCATCCCCAAACCTATCCAAGAAAGGCCCACCCATAATTACAGGACTAATGGGCCTTAAATGAGCTTTCAGGCCTTTAAAGAAAAACTGAGCTTAAAACTCTTAACAGGGTTTAACTGAGAAGACGGTTTTAGAGATTTGCTGAGAGAATGAGCGGAGCAGGAGCACCGGATTTTTTCTACAGGGAAGCTCAACGCCTTGGCTATGTTGCTCGTTCTGCTTTCAAGGTTTCTATTTTTATTAACTTCTCTTTTTCTTTCCTTTTTGTTGTTGAATTTTTTAATCATTTTTCTTGCTTGATTTTCAGCTGCTGCAGATACAGAAGCAATATAAGTTGATAAAGCCAGGTTCTGCTGTTCTTGACCTTGGTTGTGCCCCCGGTGCTTGGCTTCAGGTTATCCTTTTTCTCGGACAAGTTTCTTTCTTCGATGGGTATTTGTTCTTTTCTTAGTTCCCTTTGATTCTATGGGCATTTCATGGTGTTTATAGGTTGCTTGTCAGAGCTTGGGTCCATTGAAGAATGGTGGGGCTGTTGTGGGAATTGATCTTAAGGTATATTCATTTCTTGATTGATTCATTACTTTTGGGGCAATAGTGTTGTATTTGGTTTGATTGTAATGTGTAAAAAATGTGGGGTTTGCAGAACAGAAGGTGAAGGTTCCTTCTGTTCACTGCGATTCCAGGGTTCAAACTGTATCGGCTGATGTCATGAAACTACCCAAGCAACAAATTATGGAACTTTCTCCTCAGGTAGTATATGAATTTTTATGTCTATTATCAGCATATACAACATCTTAAAATTTACACCTCTTAAGAGTTTTTGCGGGCTTGTTAGAATTTGAATGTTTATCCAATTAGCCTTTTGAAGTGATTAAATGATGTTTGTTAACTGTTTTCATATGTTAATCAACCATATATGCAAATAAAATCAGGTTTACAAATTTCTTAAACACTGTTGAATCCTAAGTTGTCTTTGCACTATGGAAGATATTCAGATTTGATATCATAGTGATGATGTTAAACCAAACTTGGCATCATTTGTGGCTTTGATACACTTTAGAGCAGCTAGAAAGAAATTATTCAACAAAAAAGATATATCTGGTATTAAGGGGACACTATGAATGCTGTAGGGGATAAGTTTGGTAATGAAACTTGCTGCCCTGATGGAAGGAGCAGCCCTTTGTTTCTAAAAGGTTACTGTTCACTTGTGTCCACACAAAGTGAGTCCCAAGGGGGTTCTTCTGTTTGTCTAAAAGGAGTCTCTTGGACCTCTTACAGGTGTGGTTGGTTTTGTGTTTATGCAGAAAAAAGGGTTCTCGGTTATACTTTCAGATATGTGCCCCTTGGTTTCTGGAATTACGACTAGGGATGCAGCTTTATCCTTTGAGTTAGGTATGCGAGCACTTGATTTGGCTGTTGGTAGAGCTGCCGACCTTTCAGAAGATAATTTTCAAAGTGAAGGAGAGTCATACACTCCTGGTCCAGATGATAATGGTGTACTGCTATCCAGAGGGCATCTTGTCATTAAGCTTCTGGAGAGCGAGGATATAAAAGGTGGAAATCTACTTTGTAAAACAATTATTCTGTTTTGCTACCATTGAAAGAAATTTACTTCTCACTTTCTTCTGGCTGTTTGCAGAGTTGTGCCAGATCTGCAAATCACTCTTCAAAAAGGCATCATGGTCAAGGCCAAAAGCTACAAGATCATCATCTAGAGAAATTTATTTAATTTGTCAAGATTTGCAGTCATAGACAGGATCAGTTTATTTTTTTGGGTTGGTCTCTTCTTCAAGTTCCAACAACCAGCAGCCAAGATGAAGCTATATCTGCCTAATGTTGCTGCACCTTATGTTCCAGCCATTTTCTAATGCTGTTGTTAAAAACTGAGAAAACAGGTCATATCCAGGCTCATTTCATTTCAGCTGCTCAGCTCTCATCATCATGTCCCAACAACCAGCTGTAGAAACAAAGCCATGCTAATTTTCTTGTCATTTGTAATTTTGTCAATGTAGCCGGATAGACAGGTCTTCTTATAACTTTTGTTGCACATAGGGTATTTCTGTATGTCTCAATTGTGGAAATGTGAGATGTTGATGGTGTTATTAATTTGTTTTGAGTTGTGATTGCATGGAGAAACATTTGTGCTTTCAAATATCAAATACAATCTATTTTAATATCTCAATTGTTTTAAGAGAAAAAATAAATGATGTATCCAAGAAAGGTAAGCTGTGCTTCAATAAAATCTGCAAAATAGTGAAAATTTCCAATTCTTTCTTTCTTTCCTCGTGTGTCAGTGCAATCAAACAATGTAAAGCTATGATTACTTACAAATATCAGAAAATGAAACAAAAATATACAAAGATACATTCAAATCCTATCCCTTTTGTATTTTTATGTAAAAAGAAAAGAAAAATCCCTTGGTTGCTTTTATGGCAGTGTTTCCATTTACAAAAAATTCAAGTGTCATCGAATGTAGGTTCGTCCTAATGACCAGAGTCCTGTATCTTTGACCGGTGTCTGAAAAAGAAAAAAAAGGGCATTGTTAGGAATAGTTGAAGAATCTAATGAAAAAAAAAAGGGGTCAAGAACTTGACCAAATATTCCATTCTTACTGGTGTTTTCACAGATGGGAAGACATTCCAAAACCTCAAAGTCTCATCCCCTGCTCCTGTCACTATGGTCTGCATGATGAGTATGCAAAGATGGACGCAATTAGTATATTTTATAAAATGAATGCTTTTATATATGAGGGTAACATAATGCTGTAATGATCAAGGAATCATTAACCTGTCCATCGGGCGACATAGCAAGGTAGAGGACTCGAAGACTATGGCCGGTTAGAGTTGCAACCTAGAAAAAAACAAAAGGGGCAACATAGTTTGGTGCTTTTGCAACAAATGTAAAAGAAGGATAATAGTGGAAAAACATTTTATTGCTATTACCTTTGCCATTGATGGATACTTCCATACCATAATCTGATTTTGAGAATATCCATGAGTGCTAACTAGCTCATTCACATTCTTACTCCATGATAGGTTGCATACCTGGGGGCACAACATTACGATTGAGTAACTGAGCAAGTAGCAACACAAGCATGCTCACAAATGAAATGCGATGAATAAGAGGTATAATTGCAAAAACCTGGCTCCCTGTGTCTATGCTGTTCAATTGATGGCCATTGGTAGTGTTCCAAAAGCGGATACATCGATCAGCAGTTCCACCACCTGATGCAAGAAGGTTGCTCTGGTGGGGTGACCAAGCAATGGCTTTGACAGCAGCTGTGTGTTCTGTCAATTTAAGAATTGGTTGCTGGGAATGCTGGTTCCAGACCAACAGCTGGTTACCAAGAAAACCGATTTTGAAGTCAGCAATTTCCTATATTTACTCAGATAACAAGAAGGAAAAGAAATATTAGAAAGAAGAAAAACCGAAAGGGGGAATGGATTGATGATTACCTGATTGTCATTTCCACCTGATGCAAGCTCTCGGTCATCATGTGACCATTTCAACCCGCAAACCTGATGGATTTGAACAGACGGTTATCTCATTTGTTAACAAATGACCAGTTAAAATATTCTTCTAAATTTCTGTTTAATGAATAAAGAGTTAATGCAGTGACAGAAAGTATTGATAAAGCTTTACCTCAGATTTGTGTCCAACAAGCTTGCTGACATAGTCACTTGAAACTCGAAGATCATGCTGAAGTATGTTGCGATCCCTGCTTCCTGATGATAGTATTCGTGAATTCCAAGCCAAGACACCAGTTCTTGTTTGATGGCCGCCCATGGTTCTGACTCTCTTGCACTGAGTTCCATCCCATACCTATAACAAGAACCAAAATGCTTAAACTTAACTGTGTTGAAGTCCACCCTATGGATCAAATTCAAATATGAAGAATTATTATCTGATGGATGCAAAGTTTGATATAAAATCGACACTTAGCTACCTGAACTTGACCAAGATTTGTACCAATGGATATGTAAGAACCTTCCCGAGTCCATTGGACACCACACACACTGTCATTTGGCCCCAAATCACACAACTTTGTTACCTGAGAGCAAGATAAAAACATGTTAAACAGTTCACACATTCATTTACCGCCCTCATAATTCAAAGAAAAGACCATTTTCAAAGGCAATTCAGTATCAAATTCTTCAATGGTTTCAATTTTACAGATTGAAGCATCCAAACTTACTTTGCTATTTGATGCAGTCCATAAATAAACACAAGTACCCAACCCAACTGCAAGTACATTCTGTGATGACCAATCAACCAGGTTCAAATAGAAGTCGTCTTGAAGTGACGGCGCATCCAGGACCTGCAATCATTTAACAATTTGACTATATTATCCTAATTGATTGATTCACTCCAAAACTTTGAAAGAAAAAAGGTTCAACTAATGCAATATAACAATGTTCTATTTAGAGTTATATGACCTTACAGTTCTTAAAGTCCCCAACTATGAAAATTTATTGCAACATGGCTGGCAAATAACGAATGAATTACCTTATGGGGGGTCTTGGGCACTTTCCGTGGAGGCTTGGGAGGAGTAGAGGCCTCACTAGAGAACCCACTATCCTGGCCCAAAATGGAAGGAGAATACGGAGAATTAGGTCCAGAATGCTCAGTCTTGAACCTTAACATGTTCTTGTTAGGACTCATAGGTGAACCTTGACCTGCAGGAGAAAAAGAACCAAAATCAGAACCAAAAAGTTCAGATCTCAGAATCCTGGAATACGTCTCATTTCCTCCTTCTTTAGCCGGTGACTCCTTCTCTATCAACCCAAAAGTGTGTAGCCTTGAAGAAGATCTGCATGGAATAAACCTATCGCTACAAGTTGATGATTTCGACGATGATGGTGAAGTTAAACTCGATATCATCCGTGGAGAAGATATCGAAACTGTACGAAACGAAGAAGAAGAACCGGAAAAAGTTTCCAGCCGAAGTGAAGTTTCATTCATTCCAGCAGGGAGGTTTAGACCACTTTTTCTCCTTTGTGGTGAATCCATTTTCTGGGGGTTTCTTTGATCTTTCTGAAGCTTTGAGTGCTTGAGAAAAATGGGTTTCTCTTGTTTTCAGCAAAGAAGTTGAGAAATGGAAGATTTGAGAGCAGGAAAAAAGGCTCCCCTTCGGTTTCAAAAAGAGTGTTTTAGGGGAGCTGATTTTCCTGCCTTTTTTGGGAAGCCTGAAGGGGAAGGTTTGCAACGGTCAAAAAATTCTTTTCTTTTTTGGTAGGATGGAGAGGAGCGGTATGTTTTATATGCTTGGAAAAAAGGGGAGAGTAGGTGGGATAGGGAAGGGAGTAGAGATACTGTCGTTTTACTGTTTAGAGAATTAAAAACGACGAGGTGCGTGCAATTATAGTAACGGTCATTTTCATGAACAAATCAAAGCTTATAAGAGCTGTCGGATTGGCTTTAGTTACCATGTAAATGCCAAATAGCCGTTGCTTCTGCACATTTTTTATTGTTCCTTTTGACCCTTTTTCACTCCTCTATACCTGCCCAAGCAGCATTAATGGATTCTAGTTTTATGTAAGCCTTTTTCGAGATATGACCATAAACCATCTCAAGGAAACATCTTTGATTCTGATAATGATTAATGAGAAAACTAGAGAAATAGCACCGTGTGCATGAAAGTTCATAGTTCGCAGGAAACATGTCAAGGAATAAGGTGTTGGATTCTAGTTCTTTCCGAAATGGGAATCTATCTACTAGTACGATCTTATCTGAAAATAAATTTATAATGTGTACTGCAGTTGATATCTGCGAAGCCAGTCCTCTCCCTTCTCATAATAATCCAGCCTACTGAATGTTTGTTGTGGGAACTGCAAGTTGGCGGCGTAAACAGATGCACCACGCCATGCATCAAGAACTGGATCTAATGCTCTTACCACCTTAATAGGTGACCCACATGGTCGAAGCATCCGGATTCCAGCTTCCAAGCGCTCACTAATACCAGGAAAAAGACAGCACCCACCAGTCATGAAGACTGAACTGGTCAATCTATCCTCCAGAGCCCCATCCTTAGATGGCAACCTCCTTATCGAAACCCCAGTCATCTCATCTAAACCTGCTTGATCTATCCCAACCAAGTTGGGGTGGAATAATATTTCGGGACATCGAAACCTTTCAACCCCAAGCACAATTTGGTAATCTTCCTTGGTGAGTGGACGAACACGTGGTGCCTCAGCAGTAGCTGGTTGTGCAGGTGTTAATTCTGGTTTAGGAACAAATGTTGGGTCTATCTCCTGCAGAAACAAAGATCAATGAAGTGATGAGTGATTCATCTTACACAATAATTAGGAGAATTACAAATTAATTTAATACACAACAGGGCAAATAAATTGACCTGGAGCCTAGAACAAACACGGGCCAGCTCTGCTTCATCTACATCTGCTCCATCATCATCGTCATCATTATCTTTGCTCATTAGTTTGTAGAGTTGCCAATCTTCATCCTTGGCACCAAAAGTATCCTCACCCTTCCCTCGGTCAAACGCTGCTGTAGTTAAAAGGCGCATCCTTTCCCTCTGGGCAGCATTCAATCTTTCCCCGCGCCCAACACCCCCTGACAAATTATTCCCATTTGTATGGCCTCCATTTGTCTTGAGTCTTTTCCGCTGCTCAACCTTCTCATACAGTTCTATGTATTTAGTACGCATCTGTTCTAGATAAAGTTCAGGGTTCTCCCTGTTATAAGGAAAAGGCAATAAAAAAAGCAAAAGTACCAGTCAGAAAAGCAAACTAGAATCCCCAAGCCCAACTATCTCTCTACCAATTCGAATTAAATGAACAAATCTTAACTTTAACTACATGGGGCTGCTCTTTTCTCCTCACCTCAGCCCCCATTTCCTAACAAGGTCAAAATGAATGTGAAGAAGGAAAAAGAAAAATATACTCATCAGGTTGACACATACAAGCGTCTTTCTTCATCTTGTTGATTTTTCTTTTCCCGTTCTAATTCTTCTTCAAAGCGTTTCTGTTTAGCTCGCTGCCGGCCCTCTGTCGTGGTTTTAAGAAAAACCTGCCTCTTCTTTTCCTTGATCTGTCACAAAAATATAGTCAAGGGTATACACTATCATGAATTTCAGGCAAAAGAAAAACATCATCAATGACAAGAAATCTAACAAAAATAATGATGTAGTTCATTTTGAGTAGGCCGACAATTACAGTCCCCAAGGCCTTCTTAAATCTTTTGTTTGCTTCTTCAAATTATGACATAAAACACTTTTTCCCATAAATCCTGACTGCATCCAACTAGTTAATCTGATGTTTTATGCATTTGCCTAACAAAGCAAACACCAAAACGGTGATGCAGATTAGCCATTTGGTATTAAAGGATACCTGCTCAGGTGTAAGCACGTTATCAGGAACATTGACAAGAGGATACTTCTCGCTTGTAGAAGAATCTGCCTTCTCCTCATTTTCAGCTTGTTCAGCCTTTCGTTCACCTTTTGCTTTTCTTAATGATTGTGACACTTTCATCAGCGTAGATTCTATTTCCTGTTTAGAAACATAACCGGTCTCTGAAAGGAAAGACTGAATTTCTTCCTGTTGAACATGTTCAAGTTGCTGCAAAAGAAATTCCAATCCATGCAATTGATTTTCTAGTTCATTTATTCTAGAAGACCTCTTTGCTTCAGCCATTTCTCTCAATCTTTGACCTTGTCTTTCCCTTATAGCAGCCTTTCTTGCAATCTCTTCTTCAGAAGGAGGTTCTTCCATTGGTGGTGGAACCCATGGGAGCTGCCAACACCTGGATTTATCTTCAGCTTCCTTGCCCCCTTTCTGTCACAGTAATTGAACTTTCAGCCATTGCAAAAAGGATGGCAGAAGAAAAAGCTAAGTCATTACCTGAAATAATTGAGCTTCTAAAGCATAATCAAGTGCAACATAACAGTGTTCCATCTTCAGATCTTCAACCTTTTCCCAAGTGAATCTAGCCCTATTATAAGCATTTAAAAGACATTATCAGATGTTCCATGAAACAGGTCCTATTTGATTCTGGCAACTTAGCTGAATTTACACTCACATGTGATGAGGATACTTAAGTGAAAGAAGTTGCTTCAAATAGTCAGTGACATGGTATCCACCAATGTTAGTTCGGCAGCATCCTTTGTAAACAGGCTCACCATCAACAAACTGAAGCCAAAGGAAACCCACATCATAATAAATGAAAGACAACCCAATCCTGAACCTCAATGCTAGTCAAATCTAATAATGCATTGTATCAGTCACATTTCCCAAACCCCTATTCTTTGGTCTATAACATGATATACCTTCCTAAGCCAGCCATGTACCAGACCACTGAAAAGATTCACCAAAGGGATGTAGTGAGATGCCGATGCTAAACATTTTTCTGATACTGACATCATTATGATGACGCATTAAAGAAAATTCCTCACGGAAACTAATTTATCAAGTCATCCCCATTAATGCCAACATGCTAAAAATGCTCCTAAACCAAAAAATGACCACTCAACTTTGCAAATATATGCACCAAAGGTAAATATGAAGTCTATAAAACATACTGGAATGACATGAGTTGTTGTAAATCCCGGGTAGATAGCTAGACCATCTTTGTCACAAATTCCATGCTGTTGATTATATTTATAGCTGAAAGCAGCATCAACACCAAATGCTGTAATCACATACAGAAAAACTCATACATCAGAGGACATATATATCACTGGGGCAAATAATTTCTCAAGACACAATACAAATGACAAGTATTAGCCCCAACTAATAATAAAACTTATTTCGAAGAAACACTTGGGCCCTACTCATGTGGGCAAGACCATGTATCCCTCTGGAAAACAACTGAGTCTGATAGGTAACATTAAAAATTTTTCATAGAATTAAAAAGAGTGCTTATACCTACTGATGGAACTCCATAAGTCTCAAAAAGAAGTTCTGCCATTTTACTACGAGACTGAACTGGGTTGCACACACATTCTGTGATCAGGACAGGATGATCAATCTGTTCTGCCCTCAAATAAACAACAAATCAGTAAAGAATAAATCAAAATTGAAGCATTAAGTACAGCACACAAAGTATTAATACTGGAAATGGCAGCCAATAAAACAATGCAGCACGAAGAACAAATGACAAACAAAGTTCAAGTCTTTTACAGGCGTGCAGATGTTCAAAGACACATTAAGTTAACCTAAAACTAAGAGCTGAAGATAATCTACATATTGCAAAAGCATTCCTAATTAACAACACAAGCAGATGTAATTCAGGTCATTTAGGAGATGAGAACAAGAGCTGTAAACTTATCATTGTACCCGGGATCCATTTGCACCCAATCGATCAAAGGCAAAGTCAAGAATCTGTAAATACAAGAACAGAGCGTACAAAGTTAGCACGCACCCAATACTCAAAACAAATAAGTAAGCATTACAATCACTTTAACAGCCAATCCAGGCCAACTCTTATCCGACATTCCCAACCTGCCAAAGGCATCTCTTATTTTACATTCAAACCCCAAATTTTAATTCGCTCCTTCATACAATTCCATACCAAAGAAAATAAAAAAGGAAGGATATGTTAAACATTTTACATACATATTCCATGATTTCAAACTGGAAAACAACATTGCTATCGAAAGCGGAACGAGGGCCCGAACGTGTGCAATCAAAATGTCTCAGTAAATTAGTATCATGGTCACCAACAATTGTCACAGTTTCCCCTGCAACACCCAAAAAGAAAAAACATAATTTAACCTTAGCTCCACTACAATTTTCAGTTTTTGGTTTTGCTTGAGAGAGAGAGAGTACCGTTGGATTTGTGGCGAGGTCTTTGAACAATGTTACGAAAAACAACCCGCGGCTCGTTCTCTCCTGCCCAGCTGTGAAATGCACAAACACAAGTGAGGATGTAAGTAAATAAAAAGAAGAAAGTTAGGGTTTGGTTTGGTTTGGTTTGGTTAAGCTACCCGATACGAAAATAGGAAGCGCCATTGTCGATGACGATGGGAGTTGAGGAAGGAAACAGATCGTAATCCGTTTGCCTTTGTATTTTCGATATGAAAGGCATTTTTGGTTATTGCCTTTGAATGGGGAAGAATGAGAGTGCAGGGAAAAGGGTTTTTTCTGAGAGTGAAGCGGAGAGACGGTGGAGAGTGGGACTGTAGAGAATAAAGAATACACTCTAAGATAAAATAAAAAGGTTGGCAGAGAAATCAAAAGCGGGGATAGCTCAGTTGGGAGAGCGTCAGACTGAAGATCTGAAGGTCGCGTGTTCGATCCACGCTCACCGCAATTTTATTATTATCATTTACTTTTAATTATCCATGGTTAAATGGTTTAATTATCATTTACTTTATAATTATTATTCTTATATTTTATTTCATGGTTTATGGTCTATTATAAGTCTAAAATATATATGGCTAAAACTTATTTTCTCTTTATTTTCATGGTTTATTATAAGTCTAATTGCCCATAAATATTGATTGCAAAGTAAGATTAGTATCAATAATTTCCTAAAGCTCTTATGCATATTAGCATATTGTAAAACAGTCCTAAGATAAATTAAAAATAATACTCCCAAATTGACTGAATTTGAATATATAATAATATTGTACCCAAATGATGTGAAATCCAAATTTGTTAAATCAAAATACGAGCCTAATTTGAACCAAATTAGTATTTTTTTTATGACATACTACTTTAAAAAATCTATAAATTATTTTAAAAAATTTCAAATAAGTTCTTAATATTTATTATGTTTAGTCAAACCTTTATAATTTTTTTGAGTCAAAAATAGATATTGACAAGTAATGGTTGATTAATGATTGTTACTCAAAATGATATTTTGATCATTTGTACTCATATGATATGCTAACTTATAGTATCAATAATTTCCTAAAGTTCTTATACATATTAGCATAAAATAGTACTAAGATAAATTATTAATAATACTCCCAATTTGACTCAATTTGAATATATAATGATATTGTACCCAAATGATGTGAAATCCAAATTCGTTAAATCTAAATATGAGCCTAATTTGAACCAAATTAGTATTTTTTATGATATAATACTTTAAAATATCTATAAATTATTTTAAAAAATTTTAAATAAGTTTTTAATATTTTATTATATTTAATCAAATCTCTGAAATTTTTTTAAGATAAAAATAGATATTTACAAATAATGATTGATTAATGATCATTAATTAAAATGATATTGATCATTTATATTCATATAATATATTGACGTGCTATAATAGATGGTGAGATGATCACATTATTTTCATCAACACATCATATCATTTATTTTGAGAAATTAACATGTCATGTGGATTGAACACATATACTATTATTGAAAATCATATGACTAATGAAAGAATGAGATTGATTTAAAATTTTACATAAAAAGTAATTAAAATGTAATTAAAAAGTAATCATATAAATTTATAAATTTATTTATTTTAATTATATACATAATAATAATAAATTAAAAATTGAGTGATAAGAGCCATTACCATCTTGACACAGTCAGTGTTTTAATAAAATTGAAAAAAGGAAAGAGTAGAGAACTAAGCAACGTCGAATTCAGCCTAGCCAACTTTGTCCACTAACCGTATAACGAGAACCCAGCCCACGTAAAAACCATTAACGAGGATCAGGGAATATTCAAACCTAACCATCAACTCGATTCTGTCCTCTTTATAAGTCACTTCAATCGGACCCAAATTCAACACGTGAACCAATTTCCCACCACATGAGCGCACCCTAACTTCTCAAGGGCCCCACGCCGACAGAAAGAGACCGAAAAAGTCGGTGTTTGAAACGTCAAATCAAGGACCACGTGTCATGCCACGTAAGTTTTAAATCTGACGTGGGATCCACTTCAGCTAGAGCTTTTCGTTTTCCAGTTGCTTCCACCACACGTTTAGAAAAGTCAAAGAAACCACCCCAGCTTCCCTATGAAGCCATCACCCAGCAAAACTCTCTCGTATAAAAACCCCTCCAAACCTTTCATTTCCTTTCCATCTGTTTCGTTTTTGTTTCTCTGTTTTTTCTTCTCTCTGTCATGGAGATTTACGAACACGAAGAAGGATACATGACGCCTAGGGGACCGATACAGACGGTTTCTCCGCCTTGTCCACCAGCTCCGAAGAAGAAACGACCAGTTCACGGGAAGGTGGAGCCTCCGAAGGGTGGGTTTTTTAAGCCACCTGGTCTCGAAGCTTTGTTTTCAGATTTGGTGCCAAGAGAGGAAGCTTGCGTTTGAAGCGAATGTTGTTGTCGTTTTTGGTGTTGTAAATTCCACGTAAATTAAATTTTCTTTTTTTTTTATGTAGTAGTCATATTTTGTACAGTTTTTTCTTTTTCTTTCTTTTTTTGGTTTCAAGCTTAATTGAAACTGAAAATTTGAAATATTTTGTTATTAAAAGCCTGTTTGGTCTAATTTTTTTTAATTTAAAAGTGAGTATAAAGCTCTTATAAAAAATAATAATTTTTAAAATTAAGTTAAAATTGTTGGATAAATTTTTTTTATAAGTTATAATTTTGGTTAAAATTATTATAAATGGTATTTTTTTTAGAGAGTTATATTGTAATTATTTCTAATAGATGAGAATATTTTTTAAATAAAAATAAAATTTTTTTATATTTTTTTTAAAAAATGAAAAAGTTATGCATAGGAGTTTTTTTAAAAAGTCATTTTTTTAAAAAATTTTTAAAATTTATATTCAGTATGATTTTTACTTTTAAGAGATAGATAACTTGAAAAAAAATCAGCTCAAACGAGCACTAAGTGATGAGTAATAGAAATAAAATATGATTATTAGTTTAAATATTATTTTTTTAATTCTTTATTTAATTATTCATATTTGATAAAATTTTAATAAGACGTGTGCCTTGGGGTTATTTGATTAAGAAAATTTTTTAATTAAATTAATGGAAAGGGTCATAAAAATTAATCAATTTATTTAATTAATTAATCAAATTAAATTAATTAATTCGACTTTTTTTATAATAGATATTAATATACTGAAGTTCAATTTTCATATTTTAATGTTGATTACAAAATAAATAAAAGTAAATTATTAAATTTTAACATCATAAGTCTCATAACATTAAAATGTTCCGATAATCAAGATTATAAAATATTAATATGTTATATATATTATTATATGTTTTTAATTACGATAATATAAGTTCAATGATTTCCATTTATTCTTAGTTTAATATTTAAATGTTGATTTTTTTATATATAATAATTATCATCAATTAAATTTGTTTGTGGCGGTTTTTGTGTATATGATAAGATAAGGATGCATTTTGTTTATATCTATTTAAGCATATTAATCTAATTTAAAGTTCTTTCAGAATTTATATTTCTATTATTTTAATTTTTTCCTTATTTTGACTTCAAGTTACATATTAGCTAAAGCTATAACTCTTTTATATATTTTAAGATATTTAAAAAAAATACTTACCATACATTTCAATAACCCATAAAAGTAATAGGATTACAATTAATCGTAGATAAGTGCTAATTATAGAAAGATTATCTTAAAATTTTGATTGATTAAACTTAATAAAAAGATTAGCTTAAAATTCAGTTAATTGAAACAATTTTTAAAATCAAAACGGATCGAATTAACTGAATTAATCAAATTAATCGAACCTTTTTAACTGATTTGTACTTACCCCTAATTTCAACCAAGTTTTTATTTAGTGAATTAAAAAGAGAACTTACCTAACCAAATAAAAAAAAAATAGGTTTTAATTATTTGAACATAGAGAGAGAGAGAGGAGCTTATATTGGGTTTGAGAGATTGGGGCTTTGAGAAGTTGATTTTTCAGTTGGGCTCAAGATTGGGCTCAAGGTGCTCTTTGGACCAATTAAATGCTTTGTTGGGTCGAAATATTGGGCCTATGTTAAGCCCAAACTCATTTATAATGTTATTTATTGATCATGTCAAATTTTTCAATTTTTTTTTCATCCAAATATAAATTGAAAATGAACATTGAAAATAATAATAATAATAATAACAAAAATAAAAAATAATGTGAAGATCAAATTGGAATATAATTTTAAAAACAATTTAATACGAGATATGTAAAATCACTTAAAATTGTGTCCCGAATCAATATTGGGTTGAATGTTCTTATTTTATGAAAATTTAATCACGATAATTAAAAAAGTTTTTATTTATTTAAACATATTTTAGTGTAGATTGAACTTAATTCAAGTGACATACAAAAGAAAACACTTTGATATGAATGAAATATTTTTACGATCTTATTCTATCCAAACCCTACTCTTTTTTTTTAGTCAAAATCGGAATAAGTTTGGGTTATGCTAAACCCACACTTGAAAGACAAGAAGAAATGAAGGGGATAATAAAGGTCATGGAAAACCTTGAAAGGGAAAGTTAAGTTTGGAACATAATTGTACGAAAGTTGGTGACAAGGTTCACTTATTGAAGCGTACGAGGTGTACCAACGGTCTGGTCCAGTGCTGCTAGCTAGTCCTCTATCTGTGGTTTGGCATTCTTCGGCCTTATGGGCATTGGATTCTCTATTTCAGGTGATTTTATGGGTCCCTTCTGATCCAATATATTCCCTCTTTGATATAACAGCATGTTAAGTACTTGTGCAGCTTTGGAAATTCAATGGATCGAATCCAGTAAAATTATCTTTGGTTAAAGTGAAAAGGAAATTAATTTTTTTTTATTTCAATTTGTTCGTGTCATGCCAAAGTTTTTTAAAAAAAAAACTCGTGTTTCAATTCCACATCATGCTAGTCTTTTAGAGAGAGATTAATAGTTTTGTGAAAGTAGTAATGAAGCAAACTCAATCTGGCTTCGATTGACTTAAATACTTTCAAAAGAAATAGACAGGGTTATCGATGATAACGATGCAATAAATGTCATGTTAAGTATTTTAAAAATATTAAATAAAATGTTTCAATCTTATATAAGACAAATAATTTTAAAAAAATTATGAGTGTTTGTGTTGCACACTCTATGGGATTACTTTTTTTAGGCAAAGGTAATAGCCCGATGATACTAAGGGCGGGATTAAGGGAGTAGAAACAGGAAAACGCTTGGGAGTATAGTACATGAACCTTATGAGATAT